ACCCAAGTTCAAAATTGCATTCTGGGCAATCCTTCGGTGATTGTGATTTGTTTTGAGCACTGTGAACCTGTGAGCGCCCTTCTATGAGATCTGATTCTTCCCCTCCCGGTGATTTGGCGCCATCTGAGTAGCCAACCCGCTGCAGCTCAGTCACGCTCATGTTCCGCCCGCTCTGCAGCTTGTCACGGTGGGGCACGTGTGGGGGAACTAGAGTGTGTTCCTGCAGTTGCTGAAAATTGGTTCCCCCTAGCCCGTCCCTGTGCCAACGCAACACACAACTGTCTGACTTTGCGCAGATGCGCAGAGCAATGCCCAGTCCTTGTCGGTTAAGCAAATGACACAGGGCCGCTTTGTCTCCTGGGCGCGTTGCTTCAACAGACTCAAAGCAGTGGCACATCACTGAGGAGCACATCACTGCACATCATATTCACACATGCACAAAGAGACAAATAATGTTGACCTCATAATAATAAATTGCACGTGAATAATGCTAAATCTTTTCAAACACCAATAATAAATGGCCCTCAAATAATACTACACTTTTTTCTGGACCCTGATTTTCAGCTGCTTCCAGACCTTGATTCATCCAAGCTGATTCTGAGCTTTCACCTGATTCCAAAATTTGATTATTTGGTGGTTTCCTTTACAATTCTTTTAGATTTCCTTTTGATTGAAACAGCTTTAGCTTTGTTGAAGGCCATCCTTTCTGGATTTCTGATTTGGCTGCTGCATTTTCCTTTTATATAAATTTGCTTTTTTGGGCATTGCCATTTGTCACCTGAAATCAACCCACAAAGACCACCCCCCACGAGCAGCCCAAACCTTTATTACTCCAGACCTCAAATAATACTAAACAATCCCTGGCTGGTTCTTTTGGCGGTTTCCTTTACAATTCCTATAGATGTCCTTTTGGTTGAACAGCTTGAGCTTTATTGAAGGCAATCCTTTCTGGATGTCTGATTTGGCTGCTGCATTGTCCTTTTAAAATTGCTTGTTTGGGCATTGCAATTTGCAACCTGAAATCACCCCACAAAGACCACCCCCCACAAGCAGCCCAAACCTTCAATGACGTCAGACCTCAATTTAATACTAAAAAATCCCTGGGTGGTTCTTTTGGTGGTTGCCTTTCCAAGTCCTTTTGATGTCCTTTTGGTTGAAAAGCTTTAGCTTTATTGAA